TGACACTAACTGTTTCAGATTGGCAGAGCACAACTAACTTTCAAAACATGCCTACATCAGGCTCTCAGATTTTTTCTTATCAGCAGGCCTCTCTGTAGGCAAGCAGCAGTGGTGGCAACAGCCTGTCTTTCTGTTATGAATCATCTTGATTATGATTTTATTTCCCATTTTAACATATACCGTTTGACATAAAATCTACCTGCTATTTACTAAATCTTTAAACTGAGTAAGTACGTAACAAAATGAGACATAAAAGAAAAAGTCAGCATAAAGCTAACTATTAGTAAAACATAAATAAAATTTCACTAATCTTTTTTCAAATATGTCCAACTATTTTAAGTGTAAATTTAATGCTACTTGATAAATTTTACAAAGTTGATTTTATTTCAAATTTGTATTATAATTAGTTTCATTACTTTAATAATATGCACTCAGTCGGATCTTATTTTTTCTTCTATGCTTATATCCAAAAGTTAAGTTCAGGCTATATATATTTTTAATTAATTTCAGTTCCCATTTGTTGAAGGTCCTTTTTTGTCTTAATGTTCTTCAAAGTACTTAAATTCCATTGGCAGAAAATTTTACGAACCCTGTAACACCTATAAAATGTTCACATGAAAAGTGCATCCCCAAAACGGGCTTTCGAGAATGGACTGCCACGCCTGACCGGGGGAAGGAATTGCTCTGTGTTTTTAGCATTACTTCACCTTCTTTCTATGTAAGGAAGGGAATTTGAACTTAATGTATCATGTTACAATTATCAACTATTATATAAGTTTTCATTAAAATTCTGTAATATTCTGTAGTTTTTATGTATTGATGATCTATATTTTTCATTCATAATTTAAAACAATAAGACTCATATTTCTGTATAATGATTGTATTATATTTGATGTTATTTGCATTATAATTTGACTCTCTTAATACAGAATTTTATAAAAAACGTTTCAAAAAACAAAAAGCTTTGGTGAACGAAGCTGGGAAATCTTGCAAAGATACGGAATAAGTTTTTCATTCTAGCTGGAGATATTCATTGCCTATATTTTGTAAAAATGATGAATTTCTTTAATTATTTGCTCAATTCTTTGCCAACCATTTTACATTGAATTATGCTATTTCTTTTTAGTATAGTTTTATATAGTTTTTATTTATATGGCTTAATGAATTGTTTCTGGATTAAATGCTGTGTTTCCGATCTTACTATTTTGGGTATTTATTTGAAGTCCAAACAACAGGTACCTATGAGCCATGAATTTTTACATTACTGTGATTGCTTTTGATGGCGACATGTACATTATAAAGTATCGCATGTAAATCAGTCTTTAATAAACTCTAGTAAGCTTACCCTTGAAATGGCCAATGCTTTATGGTTTTGTAATTATGTGCTATAATGAATTGAAGTCAAGAATTTTTAAAAAAAGTTGAAGTAAGTTTGGACACAATAGACTGAATGTAGTGGACTCAAGCAGATCAATGATTCAATTATGTCCTCTGTGAAAGACCCTAGGTAGATGATTGCCAGCTGGCAAATAATTTTCCTGCATAAGGGTAAAGCACTGCCTCAAATGATATTGGAATTCAATGCTAAGTCTTCATTCTCAGGGCAGGAACTAAAGGTTTCCATCACTGTGCAGACTTTAGAAGCCAAAACCCAACCAATGTAATTTATCATAAACCATGATAAATGCTGAATACAAAGCTATGTAGCTTATCTTAGCTGAGTAGTTCAGGTATTTGTGTACTTGATCACTAAAAACAGCAGCTTAGTTTGAATAATTGTTCTTCCAGCTGCTTCAAGCAGATGAAAGAATCTGTGAATCAAAATGAGACTGAGTAAGCTGTGGTGGCTTTGTAAGCAGACAGAGGTGAGCTGCTTGTCTTGTGTAAGCCATCTGTTAATTTCCCTTTTTGAGCTCTTTTCTTTTTGTTTGAAACAATAATTTAATAAAATCACCGTTTGGTATTACTAAATGAAAGCAAAATAACGATCACAAATACGGACTGCAACGTATCTTATAAAAGATTATTGCAAGTATTATGCCTGAGAATTTCGTGAAGCGATCCTCCATCCCGCTTCTGTTTGTTAATGAGAAGTAACAGTGCCCTGGGCCTTCTCTCCCCGGCTGCCCCATTTAATTTTCTTAACATCAATAAAACTAAAGGGAATTTTTGGAATGTGGAAAGATTGTAACAAGGAAACACAACACAAACAACAACAACATCACAAATTTCTAGTAAAAAAAGGGTAAAGTCATTAGGGAGATTATCATTCTTAGTAGCAGTGAAGCTGAACGAACTTTCAGCTTGATGAACAATTTTCACAACAAGAAGACTGCACAACATATTTTAGATTTATTTGCAATCCTATTTAAATGGGGAACCTTTTAAGCCCCCCTTTTTTTAAAATCATTGCAAGGCCTTATTGAAAATTAGCTCAGATGAAAGAGGGAATAATGTTTTGCAATTTCTGATGTAAAACATGCTGTATAATTAAATTTTACTTATTCTATTATGTAATTTTTTGTTTTTTTTTTTTTTTTTTTTTGTTTTAATTATTATTTTTTGCTTGTGCACAATTATTTGTGTTTGTTGTTTTGTAATAAAGTAAAACATTTATTAGAATTTGATAATAAAAGTTCAAGCCCTTTATTAAAATTATCATTGCTCATTATTGAGTATAAAGTTTAATTTGCTGGCATTCAGTGGGACTTCAGACACATCTATAAATTCCTTTTCCAGGTAAATTGAATGTGTGCATCCTTCCTCATAAGTTAAACCTAATGCCCTGCATTCATTCTGTTGGGTTTGACCTCTTCTAATAGGATAATGCACAGCATCGCAAATCCAGAGATTTGAAATTAGGGTTATATAAACATTCATCTAAGTTTGGAGGCTTGCTGTTTGGAGTCATGAAATCTCAGAATTATCAAACATATCTAGGATGCTGTGTAGTCTGGTTTATAGAGCACAGAAATTCTACAGCTTTGAATACAATTAAATTATTAACTTCTCTTCAGAAAGCATGTTGTTCATTTCCTACAGAATACTCCTGCATATACATAGTGACTGTTTTTGTACAGTTTTGTGCTCCCAAAGGGACTTATGCCAAAATTAGGTTATATCTCCTTGAAAATAGTTTTGATATATCAAATGCGAGAAAAATATTTTTAGAAGTTTAGTTATTCAGTTGCTTGATCACTGTCAAAAAATATTTATTTTTAAAAGATCATTGATTTCTATTGAAATGTAAAATATAAGGTGTTTCATCCTAATCATTGCTTGTCTTTAGTCATATTTCAACCATTTGCATTTAAGGGGGGAGGGTTGAGACGTACTTTTTTAGTCATGACAAACAGCAAAAATTTTTTTAATTTGAGTAAAATCATTAAAATTATCTGAAATCGAGGAAAATTTATACATTTGTCGAAATATTTCCATAACTACCAAGAATTTTGAGAAAATTTTTATGTTTCTGATTATAAAACTTCAATGTATAACTAGAGATTTTGCTCTGTATGCAAATTATAAAATGTATTTGCCAGCCAAATTAGTGAAACTCTTTATATTTTATAAGGTAAAACATTCAGCAAAGTTATTTAAAGAAAATTTATGTAAACTAATAGTTGTTCAATTTCAAATTTGCATTTACATTACAGTTCAACATTGATACAATTGAAAAAGAAATACGCGTTTTACGCATTTTTAAACAAATAAGGAGATTAAGTGAATAAAGTCAAATATGAAAAAATATAAAGATATACAAACACAATTACACGTTATAATCAATGCAAAATGGAAATTCATTCCTTCATTGAAAGCAAACAAATTTGGCTGGGGAAAAACTCATTAGATTATACCGCCTCTTTATTTCTTAATTTCGGCCAACAAAGTTAGGAGCATTATCAAAATATAAGCAAGAAGATTTTCTTCGTGTTGCAAAGAAGCGTTTTAGAATTGCAATTAATGTGGCTGTAGATAAATCTGTTACTAACTCTAAATGAATAGCCTTAGCGGCAAAACATACAAAGATTGAGACATAATTTTTTTTTGAATATGCGCTTGTGTTGCTCACCAAAGGTCAAAGCGATTTTTAAAATCCAGGAGGATTAGGGTTAACTGTCTCTGCTCTAAGTTTCCCAAAAGCTGCTCAGAGATCTGGATTTATTTTTAAAGCACGTTATACAATTTTCGAGCTAAATTTCTTCCTCCTATTGGCCGAAATCCTGCTTTTCTTCTTCCTTCATGCAATGTAGTAGTGTTTGAGAACCTATAGTAAATATCTCCTATGTAGAGATTCCATTATAATTAATTTTAGTAAGTTTGGTCCTAGAAGGCAAAAGTTTGGGATGTTTTTTGTTTTGATCATAGTATGCATTTTGTAGACGTCCACCTACACGAAGGATCTCATTCTTATCCAAAAATGGGTTCAAATTTCATAATTTACTATTATTAATGCTTATGTTCTTCTTTAAGCAAGAAATTTTTTCACAAAATTTATTGTTTTGCACTTTGTATGTATCTTACCAATGCATCTGAAGCTTGGTTCAATTATTCTACACTTAACTTACCCTTTCTGGGCTCCCTGGGATGTTTCATGTTATGAAAAAAAACCTGAAAATAAAGCTTAATATTCTACAAAGTTTAGTGAAGTTATTAGTTAAAGATAAAAAATTATCAATAAAGTCACAATTTGAATTAATTAATAAAACTGGAAAGCTAGAAGGTTTTTAGGTCTTTTTCAAAGTTCTCATTCTAAGGTTTTTAATTTTTCAGGAGACATCTTGATCCGGGATAAACGTAATCATTGAATCACTCCATAGATAAATGTAACTGAATTGGATTTGAAGAATTACAAGCATCTGTGCCACAAGGTGGGCCAAGAGCAGCACAGCTGACAGTTCCAGTTGTGGCATGGTTAGAGCATTAATTGGGTAAACTTGATTTGCTGCACAGTAAACATGTTTTCACAGCTCCGTCTGTGGCCTTTGAGACGATATAAATCACCACACCAAAAGCTTTTTCAGATGCATCGCAGAATCCATGAAGATCAATAATGATGGGCTTCAGGTATAAGAATGAATCTAGGAATTTGTAATTTATTAATGTCTGGTAGCTGCTTTAGAAATTTTAACCAGACTTTTAACTCACTTGATGGAATGGGATTGTCCCAATTGAGTTTATTTTTCCACATTTCTTGAAGAAATATTTTGGCCTTGGTAATAACTGGACCGACAAGACCCAATGGGTCGAAGAGTCGATAGATGGTTGAAAGGACTTCACCCTTTGTAAAATTCTTGGACAACTGTTCAGATACCTTAAAATTAAAACAATCTGATGAAGGTCGCCATAATAAACCAAGAGTCTTAACTGTAGGTTGGTCTGATGAGATTATGTATTCCTCGGTTTTACTGTCATTTAACAAGTTTGGATTATTCAAAACCCATTTATGTAATTCCTTAGCTCCTGCAGCTAAGATGTTTTGGTAACTCAATCTGCAATTTTTTGCTTCTTCTAAGTTATTAGATCCATATAAAATGTCATCAACGTAATGTGTCATTAATTAGTACCTTCAATGCCTGAGGAAATTTCCCTTGTTCATCCTCCGCTAATGCTCGCAGTGTTCTAGTTGCTAAAAATGGAGCACATGAGATGTTTCATAAGTTACTGTTTTCAATCTGTATGTCTCGGAGAGCAAACATACTCAATTTCCACAATATCCATTGTAAATCTCTATCAACTCCATCCAATAGTATCTGACGATACATTTTCTTGATGTCTGCACTAAATGCGTAGAATAATTTTATTCTTCTCCTAAGTATATACAGAAAATGCCGCTAGAGGGCTAAGGTGTGTACATGTAGCTAATGATGTAACACTCTTTATATTTTTCTTTTTTAGATCATAATTTCCTCTATCATTTGAAATTAATTTCATATAGAAATCAGCTATTTTTCTGTATGAGGATAAAAACCAAATCTTGGAAAGATTTTAAAATTCTCGATTAGAAGTTTTATTGTCTGTTGAGGTATATGTGGTTTCAAAAATTTTAAAGCAAATAAAAGGGGAAGTATGTAATTATGTTGTTTTATGTCACTAATTTTGTTCCACTTATCATCTGTGTCACAATAAATAGATCTTTCTCTGTGATATATTAGTGGTTTAATTTCTTATTTAAAAAATTTTAATATGTATTTTACTTAAGTATGTACTTTATTTTAAGGGAGAATCAAATGTTTCCACCGGTGAACAAATAAATGTGAATGGCAGCACAAATAATATGCCTATTAAAAGAACATCAGATTTTTCAGCAACTCCAAGTAAAAAGATCTGTGTGGAATCATCTGGATCATTTAAAGGTATATTAATTTGCAAAAATTTCTATATGTGTTAATATGTTGGATGCCTGATTCATCTGAAAGCAGACATTTTATTTATTTTTTCATCCTCGCATGCATCATTTAGAAAACAACAATTTATGAAGCAGTATTTTTGATTGGATTAGGATTATTTAATTTAGGTATAATACAGAAGGGCCATTTGCCTTAACTGTATCTCAGTTTTGAGTGGAGCATGCCCTGAAGTTCTAACCAAGGATGTCATAATCTTTCTTCCTTTAATACCAAACTTATGACAAGATCCTTGGTTTGGCAGATATTTAATTACCTGTTTTGCAGTGACACTGTAGAGTCATTAGGTTATTTCAAAGCTGGAGAGATGAAAAGTGAGCAACGCCGTTGCTGGAAATCGAACCTCTGGAATACGCACCCAGCATGCTGACCACTACACTAAGAAGGCGGGAGAAACACCCTGTATACCCCCCTTTTAAAGGGTGACTGGGATTTAGGGGACCCAATTGCCAAATCCTGGATATGGAAAATCAGCATCCACCACCCTTTTGGTTTGGGCGCCACTGTAGGGTCATTATTTCCAGAGAGATGAAAAATGAGTAACGCCTTCGCCAGGATTCTAACTGCGGATTTCTGGAAAACGCACCCAGCGTGCTGACCACTACACTACAAAGGCCTGCTGAAGGCAGGAGAAACACCTCATAATAAAATCACAAACATCTAGGCATGTTTCCCAAATAAGGTTAGAAGCAGGAAGTGCCTTTGGTTAGCTATTTAAACTATCGTTTGGGAAACATTCAGTTTTGTTATTTATTTTGATATATTCAATTTTGCAGCTTTATTTATGAACTTTGTGAACTGAGCCGTTTTGATTTCTACTTGTGTAACATCCAGAGTAGAAAATTCTGTTTTATTGGTTTAATATTTTTTAAAAATTTCTGGAAATAACTATATTCTAGATTAAATTGTCATAATCATGGCATCTGGATGATTATTGCAGTAAACTGAAAAATGGGCTGATTGAGTAGAATTTATATCAATGAACTAAGTCATTTCTGATAACACATGGACTAAACAAAATTCCACTAAGGATCAGTTTCCACTTAATATTGTACTTCTTTTATAATAGTTTTTGTATTGTCAGATCTTAATCAGTTTCTCTTATCTTCAGAAATTCTTTATGAGAAGTATTTGAAGATAGATGATATATTGATAACTCATTCAAATCATAAATACTAATTGATTTGATTAACTGTCTGAATTTATTGTAGTTAGCGTAAAATTTTTTTAAACTTTCCACTTTTCTTAAGCACACACGTAAGAGTATAAAAAGTGTAACTCAGAAATTTGCCTTTTATTAACTAAAAATCAGGAAGAGAGGCTGTTTTTATGTTACTTTTCATAAATTTAATCTGAGAGCAGTTTTTGAAATCTTAGCTATGTTGTGAAATTTAAAAAGAAATTGTTAATGAACTTTATTTTATTTATTTATTTTTTAGAGAATAAAATTGGATTGAAGGATGCATTTAAATGGAGTGAAGCCATAGAGAGAATATTACAAAATAGTTCTGAAAAAGCTATGCCTCTTAGAAAATTGAGAAAAGAGGTAATATTTTTTAAAAGCAGATCATTTTAATAAGAATAATACATTTAATTTCAATTTGTTAAGATCATAACTAAAAGTTTATAAGTTGCTATTTATGTAATACCAAAATAATAATATACGTACTTATAGTTTAAAATTACTTGCTGGTTAGGTAATACAAAACTGTGTATTAATTGTAAAATTGTATTTGATGTACTGGTGCAAATGGAAAATCATTGTGGATGAGTAGGAGATACAATTAATTGAGCCCATTCTGCAGTTCTGTTTGGATATGATCTAGTGAATCATCTTTTGTTGACCACCTCCTTAAAATAATCATCATTGGAAGTAACCAATATTTCTGAAAATGTGAACAAACATTGGTAATGAACATAAATTTCTCTAAGATCTCTACTTTCACAGAATATTTTCATTATCTGGAAGTAATATTTAATCAGTTTTCTTCTCACCTGTACTTGACCAGTCATCTTGCAGTAAACTTCTTGATTTCAGAGACTTCTTATGGCCATTTCTTTATGCTTTTTGTGTTTTAAGCAGAGCAAACAACAGGACACAGTTTTTGCTCTGCTTGAGCATGTTATGCCTTTTCCTAAATTGATGCCATTTTTGCATACTCATGCACTTGATCCTCTTAGTATACAGTGTTATTAAATAAAATTTTAAAGACTGCTGTGCTGTGGATACTTTATTTCACTGAAACATCATTATAAAATTATAGTGAATTTAAGTGTGGAATGCACTTCTGTAAATTCTTATAAATCAGAATCACTGAGGCAAATGCACTTGAAAATGCATACTGAAAACAGATCAGATATGCAATAGAAATTTACGAGATTGGTTGAATTTCATTAACTCTTGCTAGTGTGCGGCAGGCTCTTTTATAGGCTAGTAATATACTTGTGGACATTTTCTACAGTTTTATTTCTATTCCTTGTATGTATTTCAAATTGAGATACTTCCAGGTGTCACTAATTTATCAGTAAGTTTAACATGCATTTAATATAAATGATTTGTGCATGTAAATCTAAAACAAATTTACATCAATTTGTAATTGTATGAATGCATAAATATGTATAGCATTTGCAATAATATAGACTCGAAATTCATATATTGGGCTTTTCAGAATGCAATTTCTTTCCCCCTTTTTGAAATTAATCAGCAGAGTGATTAGTTGTATTTTTAACCAGCCAACTTCATTCTAACTATTATCGTATATTTTGATAGCTGATATTTCAAGACTTATTTGTAAAATTTTTGTTTGAATATATGAAATTTTTTTTGGAAGAGGGATGCACCATTAGGTATGGGAATCAAAAGCAGCATTTTCAGCATATTTTGCTTTTTTGTTATTGAAAAGTAAGAAGGCTGATCAAGTGTTCAAGCAAGAAAAAAAAGTTGTGTGATGTGTATGAGAAGATGTATAGACAGAAAGTGCCAAAACTGGTTCACAATGTTACATTGTAGTTCTTTTGATACTAAAGATGCACTGCATTCTATAAGGCCTGTTGAAGCTGATAAAAACAAAATAAAAATATTGACGGAAGCAGAGTGTTGACTAACAAAATGAGAACTCAATAAGAGATTAAATTTGTCAAATTCAACTATTAATGACTATGTGAAATGACTTTTAATTCAAAACTTGATGTATGGGCTCTACATGTGCTCTACATGTTTTAATTCAAAACTTGATGTATGGGCTCTACATGTGCTTAAAGAAAAAGATTTGCTCCATTGCACCGACTTCTGTGATTTGCTTCACAAATGTCAAGAAAATGATCCATTTTTAAAGCGAATCCTAATTGGCGACCAGAAATTTATGTTGCAAAAAATATTGAATCCAAGCGATCGTGGAGTAGAACAGATAGTTGTCTCAAAGCATTTCAAAAGCTGATATGAATGAAAAAAAGATTGTGCTCTTTTGTTTGCTGGGATTTCTAAAGGAATTATCTTTTCGATTCTTAGTTTTTTTTTTTTTTTTAAGCTTCTACTAGGCACTGACAGTGCAATCAATGATACATTTCATATAGCAGCATGCTTTTAAAATTCATGATATAAAATTAAAATATTTGTGTAAAGAGTATTTGATTTATTGTTCCTGTTACTATATTACATTTCTTTTTCTCCTTTTAGTGATTAATTATTTTTTGTTTTAAAAATCTTTATATATATGTATATATATATATTTACTAAAATAATTATATTATCTCCTAATATTAATTATAGTAAATGATCTAAAAGTAATCCTTCTAGTTCTATTTCGAAAGATTTTAGTACTTGAATGTAAATTGTTAAAATGTTAATGAGACTGGGAATTAATCATGAATACAATTTTAAAAGAATAAATTAAAAGCAAGATTAAATTAAATGCAGTTCATTGATCAAAATTGTTGACTTTTCAAGGGAAGCCAATTCCGTTCCAAGACATAATTAAGAATAATACGAAGGTGTTTTCGTCCTTACCCGAGCAAAAGGCTAAGCCAACTGGCAATTCAATCAGCCAAACATTTCCGTGATTTTTCTAGTTGGGTTGGGCAAATTGTTCTCCTCGTGTCTGACCGAATGTTGTGTCAAAATTCTTTAGCGGTAGGGGTGGCTTTGAATTATATCATCGGTAAGACTTGTGAGTAAGTATGGGTGGGAGGACTAGGAATTCTTGAGGACGGGCGTGAAGCCTTAGTTAATGAACATCCGTTAAATTTTTTTTGTAAATACAGTGAAGGAATTAATTAATTTCTGGCTAATTGTCGTTTGTAACGATGAAGAATTAAGATTGAAAAGAATTTCATTGTCAAAGAGCTATTTGACAGACTAAGATTATGAATAGCCATTTTTTTTAGTAACAGCATAGTCTTGAAGACAATTAGCTTTTTTACATTATTAAGCTTATATTACACTATGACAATCCTTCAACGATCGTTATCCAACTTATACCGCCTTCTCAGGCTTAATAAATAGATATCATCATTTAGAGTGATATTTAACCGCCTTTTTTAAAGGTAATAATTGATTGGTATAGATTTTTGAGAATTTTAATAAGAAAATGAATTTAGATCATTCATGTTTTTATTATTTTTTTTTTTTTAGTGACACTTAAATCAATTACGCATTAAAAATCGTTTTGCACAATGACTAATCAACACTTTTATTTCAAAAATTCTGTTCTTGAATAGTGTTACAGCTAAACCGAAAAAATCAGAAATTACATGAAAAATCTCATTGACTTCATTAGAAATTTTTCCCACTCTGTCTGATGTGCAAACGTACACCTATAGAATTTATTTGTTCTATGAAAAAAAATTCACCGTGTTACTCTTGTTATAGTTGCACTTTTTTGCAATTTTTCATTGAGCAAGTCTAGTGCTACTATTATGTGGGGAATCTATACACATAGTACACTTTATGCTAAAACTTACTGGTATAAAAAATACATCATAAAAATTAGTCACCAATATTTCCTTAGTGCTGTTTATTAATAGTCTTTTAGCCAGTGCATACAAAAAAAAAAAAAAAAAGCATTTTTCTTTTTATGGTAATATTCTTATAGACATAAAATTCACAAATAATCTTTGTGAAAAGTTTGACAAAAATTCTAATAGTATGCTACATAGTTCATAATAAATAACTTTCTCTGGAGATATCAGTATCACTGTTGTAATGTGAATCGGTGTCTGAAGAATCTCCGTCATTCCATGAAATGGTATCTTTGTTCCCCCCCCCAAAGTGTTGGAAGTACCACACATTCATCATTTATTAATGCATGAACATAAGAAAGAAGTTCATTTTCTATCATTGGAAAAATTCCATGCTTTCATACCATGAATGCTCGCCTATATTTGTTTCTTGTAACAATTGTTTGGATTTTCTCCAGTCCCTTATTAATTTTTAGTTACATTCCATTCTTTTTCAGTAGCTCTGTTTCCATTCCCTTCAGCATATTCAATAATCTTCAGTTTAAAGCCTGTTCGTACAACTGTTGTTATTTCTAAACTTTCCCATATTCAAGGGGAAAAAAAGAAAGAGAGACCCCTGGAACACCCTTTATGAAATATTGGCAACGATTTTTTTTTTTTTTTTTTCTGTAACTTTAGATACGTGCAGCCCAATAAACTTAGAGCACTTTCTTTAACAAAGAATGAGTTGAAAGCTTTAAAATGAGGGTGGATAAGAAATCCTGCTCCAGGAAGCTTTTCCATCTTCTCAGGGTTAGCAGGCAATTCCTTATCTTGGAGTGACCACTGAGAATGTCAATGGGAGTGACAGAGCAGATGAATCCATTATGAGTACTAGTTCTGGGAGGAGTACAGTTGATAATTTTCTATTTTCTCGATGAAGGTCAAATACGCAACTGCGACTTTTATGTGGGGAAAATATTTTGACGATATTTTTTCTGCTTCAAAACGGGAGTGCGACTATTATGCTAGTAAACAGAGTACACGGATAAATTTTAACTGATGGGAAAGTTTTAACCGTAGTGCCGAACATCCTGAACGAATTAAAAAATTTGGCTTGTTAAAAATTTTTAAAAAGACATCTCATTAAATCATTCTTGTTTTAGAATGAAGAGTTTGTTTTGTAATATTTAAAAATTCCAAATCCTTATAATAGATATATTTTAGGAGAATAGAATTAAAAAAAATTTTTTTTAATTTTTCCTTAAAAGAATATAATGTTATGCACCATAATAAAATTAAGAAAATTCACTTTAATAAACTGAAAGGCCAAGAAAAATGTATATAAACTTCTTAAATCAGGGAGAAAAATTAAAAATGGCTAGGTAGATTTTATTGCAAATAATTTTAAACATTTTTAAATCCATAGTACTTTACAGAAGCGATAAGAATCACATGATGTAATGACATCATAATCGTGAAAGCAGTTTGTCTGGAGTGATGTGATGCCTGGAAAAACCAATTTTTCCTTCTTGTGCTTGAGGCTGCAGCATACAAAATGTTTATTTTATAATCTTGGAAAGTTTCAAAACA